AGCAGAGGCAGAACAGAATTTCAGTAATTTAAAACTTAATTGGCTCTAATAAAAGACAGAGCTCTTACCCTGCAACCTGCCCCTGTGGACACTTCATACCATGAGCCTTTGTAAAGCAAGACTTGGCTTCTACCCAGACTTGGCTTAGAAGAGCTTGCAAAATCCAAAGTGTTTGTGGTGGGCAGCATTGAAACCAGCTCTGAAGAGACTTCCTATATTCAGGTTTCCTCCTGCTTTGATTCCATTGTACTTCCTTAGGCATTTCAATTACCATTTTGAACACAACATCTCTGAGAGTTACTTTGCTTTGTTTGTTAGTTCAGGAGCTCACAAATGGCCCCAACTGTGGGAAATAAAAAGCAAATGAGGAGAAGGAAGTCTTTTACAGAGAAACACTTGTTCTGACTGTAGATTAGGCTCAAGACAAAGGAAGCAGAAAGAGGCAAGCTTTTCAAGAGCACATCAACTTTGAAACTTTGTGAAGGTCAGGGCAGGCTTGTTGGCCAGAAAGGCTTTTTCATCCATTAATATAACTGCGTCTGCGAAGAAAAATATTTTAGCATCTTGACTACATTAACTTGGACATTTTAAAGGAAAGAACTAGCATCACCGCATCTAGTATGGTTTTGCACATACATGGAAGATGAAAACAACACCTGAAACTCTATTGGCACACTTTTCAACACTGTTTCTAGCACAAAGTACAGGGCAAAGTTTGTCCCATATTAGGATCATTCCAGGGGACAAGTGTCACTGTCCCTTTTCTCTTACTCAGAAAAATATAAATGTATCAAAATGAATGATAGTGTAGCTACTTATAAATATAGTCATAGCCTGGCAACATTTATTTTAAAAAACTGAATAGCTTCCTGCTGTGCAGCCAAATACTAGTATATTATGCAATGGAGAATCATTAGAGGCTTTTTATTAGTCAGGGAAAAGATAAGACCATTACTATGTCCACTGCTATTTAATGTGTTCTTAATACTAGACAATGCAAGTAGACAAGATAAAGCACTTTGCGTAATAAGAATTATAAAGGAAAGGAAGGAGCATCTCTATTTGCATGTAATAGAATGATTTATCTGGAAAACTCAGAAGAGTTACTGGAAAAACTACTGAAAATGGTAGGAAAATTTACTAAAATAACATTATAAATTTTACAGAAAATAGCCTGTACATATGGCCCAAAACATGAACAAACATGAGAAGATATATTGAAAAAGAAGATCTCACTTAAGATAAACTCATCCTTTAAAAATATTCAAGACATACTTGAGGCAAACTAAAATATCCCAGAAAACCAAGACAGCAGATCTAAACATTTTAAAAAAGACGAATTATGTTCTTGGAGAGGAAGACCATGTTATAAAGAAATCAGTTTTCTCTTAGTTAACCTAGCATAAGCCCAATTAAAAATACCATCAAGCTATATAAGTTGATTGTAAAGTGTGTAAGGAAGAACATAGCCAGGAAAACTCTGAAAAAGAACAGAAAGATAGCCTTGCTTTTCCAAACATTAAGAAGTATCATAAAACTTCTACAAGTAAACATTTTGTTAGTATTGAATGAAAAAAACAGATAAACCCTTGTATTAGAATAGAAAATCCAAAATTACTAATTGCATATGTAAATTTAGTATAGAATAAAGTGGCTCCTTACATCAATAGAAAGTGATCAGCTTTTTTAAAAGTAGCACTGAAAAATGCAGAGCTATGTGAGGAAAAAAAATTGGATTCATTCTTCAAATAATATGCCAGGATTCCTCACACAATATACCAGAAAAGTTCCAAATGGATCAGAGATATAAAGAAAAGAAAATGTAGAAACACTATTTTTAAAAGATGAGTGTGTTTTGCTATAACCCAAAAGTACAGATAATATTCTAAACTGTGACTTAGCATCCAGAATCAATGAAGAAAAGATTGAGGTCTTCAATTTAGCATAACAAAAAATCACTGTGGGCAAAATAAAATACATAACAAAATTGAAAACGTATTTGAAATTTATATCACCAAGTTAGCAAAAATAAAGAAGGAAAAGACCATCTAACCATAGAAGAATAAGCTGTTATAAATGCTTCAACAACAAAAAAATGAAAATGGCTCTTAAATATATGAAAACTATACTAAAATATCACTTTTCATCTATCATACTGGCAAAAAAATTCAAATCTTTCTCTCTTTTTTTAATTTTTTGGTACCAGGGATCGAACTCAGGTCCTTGTGCTTGCACAGCAGGCTGTGAAACCACTGAGCTAAATCCCCAGCCCAAAAAATTCAAATCTTAACGTTTTCTTTCTTGGCAAGGCTGTGAGAGATAGTCATTCTTATATATTGTTGTGTGAATGCAAAATGATAAGACCTTGTAGAAGGGAAGTATGGAAATAACTAAAAAAATTATAAAAGGACTTATCCTCTAATCAAGCAATCCCAATTCTTAGATGCAAATATATGCTACCAAAAATATGAAAATAAGCATGACCGCAAGGCTCCTCTCTATATACTTTCTAAAATCAAAAATTGAAAATATCTGAAATTAACACCAACACAGGAGTAGTAGAATTAACTATGATAGATCTAACCAATGGAGGAACATCTCTATAATGCTGTGGAGTTATCTTAAGTACGTGTGCAGGTTTCTCAATGATACTAATGACATTTTTGGTCAGATAATTCTTTGTTGTAGGGGGCTTTCCTGTGTATGGTAATATGTTTAGCAACAACCCTGTCCTAAACATACTAGATGTCAGCAACATCTCTACTTCCAGTTGTGACAATGCATTTTAGAAGTGACATTTTTGCAAATTCCCTGTGGAATAAAATTATCCCTTGCTTGAGAACAAATGTCATTTCCATGGGAGAAAGAAAAAAACAAATGTAAAAACAATGAGATTACATAAAAATTTGAAATGGTAATAGCTGTATAAACTAATGAAATAATTACTTTTTAAAAATATCCTTTTCTAACTGTCCAAGGAATAAGCAAAAATATAATAGCCAATACAGAAGCAACAAGTACTCCTATCACTAGATTGTGGTCTCTAACTACCATTTCTAACTAAAAAGAAGCCAAGGTTTTTGGGCAAGATGAATTATTTAGGATTGGTGCAGAAAAAAATGTCCAAAACAACCCTGGAAAAAATTACCAGGAACAATTAAAAAGTAATCAAGGAGCCATAGGGTTGTATCAAAAATTTCAAGAGCCAATCTGAAGAGAATCCCACTGGCCAAAAAAGGACTGACTATGCATCAATAAAAGGACTATCTGTATATCAATCCATCAATAAACATACAGCTTTAATGGGCAGAAACAATCAGATGTGATTGAATTCATGAGTTTGTAATAATGCTTGAAAGAAATACCTCATTAGTCATTTTCAAATACCACACCACACCGTCTTATTTCAAAATGATTAAGAGAAAGAAGTATTTACTCTACCTTTTTTATCTGAACTGTACTTCAGAGTAACCAAATAGTTGTGAAATTTCTTTTTACAAAACTATTCCAGCCAATAAATGTAAAGGAATCATAGAATTAGAATATTAACATTTGAAAATTTTAACAAATTAATGTTAATCTATGCAATGATTATCCATGGCTGCCAGCATCACAGAATAAGAGAAGGAGCCAGATATTATGCATCTCCAGAAGGAAGTATACTGTGTCATTCAGAAGATATGTTTGTCAAAAAGAGAAGGAATGGGAAATTAAACGGGAATTTTCTTGAGTCTCCTAGATCAAACAACCAATTTATGAAACATACAAGGAACAGAGAGATGTTTAAAATAAAACCACAGGGATGTTATGAGCAAAATTCATACTGAGAACTAAAGAAAAAATGGCCCAGTTTCTTCAACACCAATAGTAACAACATAAAATGGCAAAGAAACAGAAAGCAATAGAGGAGGAACCTATAAATTAAAATATAATTGGGCCAGGGATTTAGCTCAGTGATTCCGCTGCCTGCCCCTCAAGTGCAAGGTCCCGAGTTTGATCCCTGGTACAAAAAACAAAAAACAACTACAATAAAATATACTTAAAGGACATATCAACCAATTGCAATGTTTGGACCTCATTTCCATATCCAGGTTAAAATAAATTAATATATATTCACATATATGTATATAAACACTTGCACAATGTCTTAAAACAATTGGAGAAATATGAACACCAACCGATGATGTTGAGGAATCACTGTGTCCCCCATTTATGTGTAATAATACTATTAAATGTGTGTGTTTTGTTTATTCTGAGTATCTTTTAGAAACACATGTTTAAATTATATGATGGCTGGTATTTGTTTCAAAATAATAGGGGTAGCAGATAAGGATGAAGGGAGGATAGATGAACCCGCAGTAGCCATGAACTGATCATTGTCAAAGCTGAGCGATGAATACAAGAGCATACATTGAACAGTTACTTTTATATCTCACTGGAAATTTTCATAACACAACACTTTATGAAAGACAACAACTTGGAAGCTTCCATTTTATGTATCACTAGCGCCATGTTCTTGGCAACACCCTTCCCATCTAAAGGACAACCACAGAGTGTGGACAGTATAGATGGGAAGTTCTGACTGTGCTGAGTCTACCTGTTTGTTCCTCCCTTTCCTCTGCCTATCTCTGTGACTCTTCCCCTTTCTGTCACTGTTACCACATAAGTTCACCATGAGAAGAAACACGTAACAAGAACTTTCAGTACTAAAAATTTACAAAATGAAAGTCACCTTATACCTTCTGGTGGCTGCCTCATTTGTTCAATTAACAGTGAGAATATTGATCAGCTCATAGTTTATGTTCCTGGTAATGTGAACTGCTGGTTTATGATCAACTTCTCATTACAGTATTTTTATAAGAGAGCTTCCTACATGTTGAGAAAACTGCTAGAAGCCAGGACCCAAGGACAAGGGAGGAAAAGAAAGAGGGAGGGAATCTCTTTTATTGACAATGAGTGAATTGGCATTAGTCATTAATCTTGTCTTCTTTTAACTATAGGTATTTATTAAAGTGCTGGACAATAATGATAATGGCCCAGAATTTTCTCAGCCAAATTATGATGTGACAATTTCTGAGGATGTGCTTCCAGATACAGAAATACTGCAGATTGAAGCCACAGATAGAGATGAGAAGCACAAGCTGAGCTACACTGTCCACAGCAGCATTGATTCCATCAGTATGAGAAAGTTCCGGATTGACCCCACCACTGGCGTGCTCTACACTGCTGAGAGACTGGATCATGAGGCCCAGGATAAGCACATTCTCAACATAATGGTAGGACCAAACTGCTAACTTGCTCTCTTGACCGAACTGTTAACCATGCAAGGCACAAACACCTTAGTCTTCAGAAGTATAGGGCCCTTCAGTTTTGTAAGTAGCGGTAAATTTGGTCTTTTCATTGCCAGGTTGCATTCATTTTTTTACTTTTTTATTTCAATGAAGAATTACCATTGTTACATAGCAACTCCATTTTTTTCCCCCAAACTGAAATATTAGATAAATTCTGCAGACGTTGGCAGCTCAGTAAATGCTGATGACAGACTGCCTTGATAGGGAAGGAACAGGCCAAGTTCCCAGGCTGTATGGTTGGTTTGCCTCCAAAAGATAATGTGAAAATTTTTAAAAGAAGTTCTTCAAGAAGTTAATCACAGGGTAATCATTTGCTCAACCTATGCAATGCTCCTTGGAAGCATTTACAGACCAAGTTTACTACTTATTGCACTGGCATTGGACCTAGTACTGAATACAGGAACACAGAAGAAAGAGATCACAACACATACCAAACCCTGCAGAGTTGTTAAATCTGAATTTGTGTTCATTTATGTTCCTTCAAATTATATAGGAGAAATTTCTTTAGTTTAAAATGAGGCTTGTCCTGCTTACATTATTGAAAAGTAGAGATTAAGAAGAAACATCCTTCTTCATTTGTGTCCTATCCAATGGACCCTTGACTTACAAATTCAGTTTATTCACGAGGGCTGGTTGTAACTCAAGAGGCTCAGGTTCCTCTACACAGCCTTCAAAGTCTCTCTCCTATATAATTTTAAGTCACATTTTCTTCCAGGCAGATCTCAGTGTCCTTAGAGAGACACTGGCCCAGGATTTCCTCAATTAACCACACACAAGAAAGGATGCTGTCGTGTTCCTTCCAGAACTTTATAAGGGTTGAATCTGTATCTGAGACCACTAGTGCAAGCAGCCAGCATTTGGGTCATAACTCAAGACTTTGGTGGTAATTTAAAACTAAAATTCCAGCCATAACCCAAGTTGGTTGTATCTCAGGCCAGTCATAACTCGAGAGTCCACTGCAATATGTCCCTTTTAACAACCTAAGAGCCCCATGGGCAATGCATAGACATTGCCTATCAAAGCCCTCACATGCTCCTGAAGACCAGGCAGAATGACAAAGACTTAATCTTGTATCCTGATTGGCTATAAAATACACTAAGACCCTATGAATTCCCAAGCAGCTGAAAGTATTGGTCCACTCAATGTTACTTTTCTTTCATGAGATGGGAAACCTTGCTGGGCAAGAGGAAATGTATGTTTCCTGCCCTTGCCTATGGTTTCCACCTAAAACTCTAAAGAAAAGAAAGGGCAGCTCAGAGTCATCTAATTCATCCCTCTGGCCATTCATCCATTCATTCATTCAAGAGATACTTCTTCAGCATGTAATGCGCATCAAGCACCACTCTAGGAACTGAGGACACAAAAGAGACAAAGTTCCTACATGTTTGGTGCTAATGTTCAAATGCAACTGGCCTACATATCAATAATCCCATAATAAAGAGTTCAGCTCAGACTTTAGTTATGGCAGACAAATCTGTAGAAATTCAGCATACTCAGTGGGTCAGTTTTGCATGTGTTTTCTTCAAAAGAAGAAACCTTGTGCTGGTGACTAACTTCATTCTCACAGTCCAAGTCATTTCTGTTCATTCTTTTCTTAACAAACTTAGAATTCAGTTTGGTCACCCTTTACCATTTATCATTTATGTTATTGAATATTTAGAAAAAACAAGTCCTTTATGCTGCCTTTCTCCAAGCCAAGCCACTTTAGTCATTTTACTAGTTCCTTCAAGGTGCTATTTATGAAACCCTTTTTCTTTTTGATGGCTCTTTTCTGTATATTTTCTAATTTCTTTATATCTTTCTGAAATTATGCAGTCTAAAATTGAACAAGCCAAAAGTACACATTTGATTAGTGCTGTGTCAAATTATAGCAGTACCATGTGGTTGTGGTTAAAGAATTGATTGTTTATAAGCTTCCCTCATATGCAACCAGGGGGAGTTTTAAAGCTCTTGGGCAAAGTTCTTTAGTAAAGTCACACTGAGGTCTCAACTTTAAAAATTAAACTTGACTTCATCTTACCAGAGTCACAGTTCTTTCTCAGCTATTGCCCTTTGTAAATATTGGATCTTCTTGCACAAAAGTACCACATGCTACCATTACCACTATTTTACTCCCTTTTCTTGGGCAGATTACCTCTTCCAGGAAACCAAATACTAGGTTAGATTCTCCTTCCTTCTCACTCTGAATGTACTTTCAATGTATCCCATGCCTTCACTTAGCACTGCGTGTTGTACTTATTTACTTACTTGTATTCTCCACCCAACTCTAAGCTTTTTGAGGATAAAGACTGCATTTCACTACTAAATCACTAGAGTCAAGCCAGGGATTTGATAGACAATAGATAACGATAAATGTTTGGTGAATGAATGGCCATGCAACATTGTATTCACAAATTCCACTCTTTAGTTTTCCCTTTAAAAGAGCCTCTGTGTACCATTCCATGAGCAACTTTAAACCTACATAAGAACCAGGAAGTAGCTGTGGAGGGGCCCAGAACAGAGTGCTGTGATTGTTCTATGAAGACATCAGTTGTGCAGGCATAGATTAAGCCAGACTATAGGCCAGGCATCCAATTGAGCAATAAAGATGAGGTGACCCCGCTTTTGATTTGTACAAAGTCAATCTCTTCTCATGGTAACACCACTTTTTGAGCACTTACTAGGTGCCAGGACTGGGTCAAGCACTTTGTGTGCATTATTATCTCATTTTGACTTCACTACTGACATAGCCATGTGAATTCTTTGCAATTTAAGATTTTAGTCCTACTCCTTCTTGTATTTTGCCTAAAGGTCAGAGATCAGGAGTTTCCTTATCGAAGAAACTTGGCCCGAGTCATTGTGAATGTGGAAGATGCTAATGATCACAGTCCTTATTTTACCAACCCACTGTATGAAGCATCTGTGTTTGAATCGGCTGCTCTGGGATCAGCTGTACTACAAGTGACGGCTCTGGACAAAGACAAAGGGGAAAATGCAGAACTCATATATACCATAGAAGCAGGTGAGAGCTGTTGCACTACACAGATTTCAGTGTATGGATGGCACTGGACCCTCAGTATTATATATCACCATGTAAAATGCAGATTGTTATGACTCAATGAAATTTTTGGCCAAGCAACCATCTTATTTATGTGTGATGGTGTATAAAATTCTTGGCATTTCAGTGATATGTTTTCTATTATTGACAGCAAGGAGAGAGTTTTCTCTTTGCGTTTAATCTCAGATTTTTTTCTGGAATGTAGGAGAAGAAATGTGTAATACATTCTGTGGCTTTTACACATGGGCCAACAAGCCATGGCCTCAGACTAGAATAACCGAAGTCTCAGGGCTGCTTGGCTGTTCGGTGAATTGAATTTCACATATCTTTGTTTATTTATTAGTAGGTGGGTTGTGGGCTTCAGAATTCCCCCTCAGCCCCGTGGTAAGCACAGGTTCACTTCATTGGTGGCAGTCTGAGGAGAGGAGTAGTTAGTAGACAAGGGGTTTGATTTACCTGCTTAACCTGACAGATAAGCAACCACAGCCTTGTGTTTTGTTAAATTTAAAAAATTTTAAAGTCAATTTTAACATCCATAAGACAAGCTCCTAGTTTATAGGTGGTTTGAAGATCGATAGCTAGACAGCATTATGACAAAGAGATAAATATCCAAGCAAGAGATAGGACTGTGGACCTAAAAATGACAGATATCCTTTATCTGCTCTATTTTCCTTCATCTGTTCTGTCTTTTGGAATATTCAAACCACATATTTCCAAAATGTTCTGCAACATTATGTCTACTCTGCATAATGCCAAGCACATTCTCCTTTCATGCCAGTGATAGAAAGGCTTCTTTCCTTTCGTATAAATGTAGAGTATTTTTATGAGTAGTTGAATTAAAATAGAAATACTAGAATGACAGTTTGTGATTAGACATATTTTTAAAAAGTCAATAACCTTTAAAAAAAATCCCTGCATCAAATAATAATCTAGCGCCAGGGATTTAGCTCAGTGGTTCCACCGCCTGCCTCACAAGCTCAAGGTCCCGAGTTTGATTCCCAGTACCAAAATAATTATAATAATAATAATCTAAAACTATTTCCTGTTCTAGGCCCTGGAACCTCTATACAGAAAACAAAAGAAAAAGAAAACTTATTGGTCCCTAACAACCAGGTGCCCCTAGCGAATACCCCCATTTCTTTTCTAGATTTTCATGAGATTTTCTTTCAACCTAAAGCCTTAGTAGTACTTTGAAATGCTACTTTGCATCTCTTGATTCTGATAGAACATTTTTTATTATTTAATTATATAATCCTTGTTCTTTCGGTTCCACAAATACCATAAGGAAACCTTTCAGAGAAAATGTCATCTAAGCCAAAAATTCTTTTTATTGTTTTTTTTTTTTTTTGCTAATCTTGTCTTTTTATCCATGAATATTCATTCATGCCTCTAAATTGTTTTACATCATTTGGATATAAAGCTTATTTTTAACTTTTCTATAATTTTTCTAAACATTTGTCTGTCTACCTCTATTTGCTTTTTACATTGTCATTGAGACTACTAATTGTACTTCTCTTAGATAGCCAGATTATTTTTAAACCACTATGGAGATTATCAAGAAGTAATTTAACTTATCATCCATGCTCTACTTATGTTTTAAACTCTACAGCTACTGCCTGGTTCTCTGTCATTTCTTTAACAACTGACTAAAGCAAATATAAAAAACTTCCTTTATAAAGAAAACCCAAATTTCCAGAAAACCACAAAAAAGATTGTGATCTCAAGAAAAAAAAAGACCTCTGATTATGTGTGTAAAGAATAATAAGAATTACAATGTGCACAATAAATCTCTCACAAATGGTAGGCTCCTTCACAGACTCACAGATGTACCCTGGCCAGGCAAACTCCTTCCCAGATGATGGGAAGAGAGGCAGATCCCTGATGCTTCAGTATTTTGAAGCAAATGACAGGTGGCTCTGTAAAATGTTACATTTTATTTAACTTCTCTAACAAACCTCAGATAAGCAAGATTTTACTGTTTATTGGTAGGCCATAAATTTCCTGTCTCTTGCCTGGCCTCTGAAGTAACTGCTGAAGCTATTTATTTTGACCTGAAGGACTGAGGCAGAATTTAACTGCAGAGTTGCAGGTCATCTGTCTAGTTTAAATTTTGTGTTTGGTGCCACTGATGGTTCTGAGGCAGCAGAGTATAAGAGAAACCAGGCTAAATGTTGAGTTAGATAGAGATCTACTAGATCCTAAAATGTATACACATAGAGAATTTAAAATGTTTTTTAGATTGATCTCTCCTCTTAATCCTCAGGTAAGGACTGAGCACCTTCTTTGTGGTAGGGACTGTCCTATATAGCAGATAAGTAATGATAGTTAAGAAAAGAACAGCTTGTACTCAATTGTGAAAAGTCCACAAGAAGCCATAGATTGCAGAAAACAAGCAGAGATTCATTTCCCAAAGATTCTAGACTAGAAGGAGCAAATAAGCAGGAAGTGGATTCCAAGGAAATGAATCAAGAGTGTGGAAGAGGAAAGGGGGAGGAGCTAACATATGAGCACAGTGTGCTGGTAGGGTATAACAAGCAGATCCAGGGCCATGGGACAGCAGGTTTATGGAGTTTAAAAGCTGTCTCCATTTCATGCCCACTGTAATACATCTTGCTAGGGATGAAGAAATGTTGCTGGGCCTGCAGTGAGAGAGGACTTCCCTAGAAACTCTGAGGTAGGATCCCATAATCTATGAGAGCAGAGACCTGCTGTGTTAGCATTCATCAGTCATGGCTGGAAAGTGACCATTGCTTAGAGGAAATGCTTTCTGGCTCAATTCCATGATGCTCTTCATTGAAAGCTTACTTTAAAAATCATTGAACTTTCCGTTGTTATTGTCATCACAAAATGGTCACATCTAGGTGGCAATGTAAAAAATCGTGCAGACATCAAAGATAACATTGTTTAACATTCACATTTTGAAGCTAGAATCAAATGACCTCTTTATTAGATATGCTTTCTCTTTAAAAATAAATGATCCAATACATTATATGAATATAACCTTTTTCTGTTCAAACATGGGAAAACCTATTTAATAAGTATATAACAACAAGAAGTATGTACACAGCTTTATTTGCTATTTATTTCAATAAGCATATCATATAAACTCCATCTGAGTCCTGGATCCTATTGTAATGATTTTGATACTTATATGGTGTGTATGTATGCCTGCTCTACTATAGTACTCAAAAGGAAAGAAAAATGCAGATACACTTGAATAACCAAGATCTTTAATTTTTGGGTTAAAGCAATCTAAACACAAAGGCAAAGGGGTGTGTGTGTGTGTGTGTGTGTGTGTGTGTGTGTGTATTTTATTGAGTTTATTGAGTTTATTGCTACATTTTAAAGGGAAGAAGGGAAAGGAAAAAATATGAGAAAAGGCACATGTGTTTTTTGAATCATGTCAGGAAGCCTGAGGAGGGAAACATAAAGCAACTTGAAGGATACATCTTCATATTGTCCACTGCTTTGAGCTCTGTGTCACCATTTAACCTTCTTTATATTCTTCAAGTTTTGTGTTTTCTCTTTTTTTAATTTCACTCATCTTCAACAATCCCAGATTTCAAATTACTGCATGTTTCATAGTCAGAGCTACAAACCTGAACAGTGTCATGGGCCACAGCTCTTCCCATTCTGTCAAAGTGGGTTTCCATGTCTCCCACTTTCAGAAGGTTTACGCCTCAAGTTTCATAAGACTTATACCTCAAGTTCTTGGTTTCAAGGTTAATTCCAATTTTCAGGAGTTTCCTAGTTTACCAGAAACCTCTTAACTCCTTAGTGAATAGAATGGCTACAGATTGGAGCAATTACCTTAGAATATTTTATGTGTACTTCTATATCTGTGTGTTCAAGGCCATGGTAGAAGAGTAAAGCAGGAATGAAGAATAGGAAAGGAATCAGAAGAAGATCTCACAACTTGCAAAACAGTGACCTGGAAAGAATTATCCATACCTAATAAAACCCACCTCATCAAAGTAGTGTTTTGGACAAAGACGATTTTGGTAGCGTGAAATACCAACAATTTCATGTCACAAAGTTTACCTTTGAAATAATTTGAAACCAAATAACAACACAATATGGCTCCAGAACTATTACTACAATACTCCTTCCTTTACTGTAGAGCACAGAACATGGCACTGATTTAGAGATAGATAGATAGATACATAGATAGTATCAGCAGCATTGCTATGTGCAAACTTAGTCTATCCCTCTCCTCATAGGTGGGGAATGAGAAAGTTCTGCACATTCGTAACAGAAATATCTCTTATACAAACTTTATTTCTCACCTTGCATGTGTATCATGTTGTGCTATTTTTGTTGTTTTTGTTGCTGCTGCTGCTGTTTTCAACCTGGACCCAAAAGCTACTGATCTAAAATTAATAATTTTACTCAAAAACTCATTTCAGTTGCTTTTCAATATCCTAGAAAGAGAAGTCTGTTGTTTTTGTCAAAATGATAAGGAATGAATGCAAGAAATTGCTTTCTACTGGCCACATAGCAGTAAAAAGTCACTGTTTGCTTTGTAGGTTATGAGATCTTTCCTGATTACTCCCAACTCCTCACTCCTGCCCTCCTGTACTCCTGCAGACATGAATACACACAGACACACAGACACAGAAGTACATGTAACAAATTCTAAAGTAATTGTTCTGATCCATAGCCATTCTTTTCACTAAGAACTTGAGAGGTTTCTGATGAAGAAACTGCTGATAATCTGAATTGCTTTTAGGTGAAGAGTTAATCTTCAAAAAAGATTCTAATGACCCACTTATAACTCCTTGCCCCATTGATTTTTGCATTTTAGGGAATACTGGGAACACATTTAAGATAGAACCAGTCCTGGGCATCATCACTGTTTCCAAAGAACCAGACATGACAACGATGGGTCAGTTCGTCCTGTCAGTCAAAGTCACAGATCAAGGTTCCCCACCAATGTCTGCCACTGCAATTGTGCGCGTTTCTGTCACCATGTCTGATAATTCTCACCCCAAGTTCACTCACAAAGACTATCAAGCTGAAGTAAATGAGAATGTTGATATTGGAACATCAGTCATTCTAATCTCTGCCATCAGTCAATCAACCCTCATTTATGAAGTCAAAGATGGAAACAATGATGGAATCTTTACCATCAATCCATATTCTGGAGTCATCACCACTCGAAGGACTCTGGATTATGAGCATACTTCTTCTTATCAACTCATCATTCAGGCCACTAACATGGCAGGGATGGCTTCCAATGCCACAGTCAATATTCAGATTGTTGATGAAAATGATAATGCTCCAGTTTTTCTCTTTTCTCAATACTCAGGCAGTCTAAGTGAGGCAGCCCCAGTCAATAGCATTGTCAGGAGCTTGGATAACAGCCCACTGGTGATTCGAGCCACCGATGCGGACAGTAACCAGAATGCACTGCTCATGTATCAGATTGTGGAATCCATGGCCAAGAAGTTTTTCACAGTGGACTCCAGTACAGGTGCAATCAGAACAATTGCAAACCTGGACCATGAGACCATTGCTCATTTCCATTTTCATGTGCAAGTGAGAGACAGTGGGAGCCCCCAGCTGACTGCAGAGAGTCCTGTTGAAGTCAACATTGAGGTGACAGATGTGAATGATAACCCACCTGTTTTCTCTCAAGCTGTGTTTGAAACTGTCTTACTTCTCCCTACCTATGTGGGAGTGGAGGTTCTGAAAGTCAGTGCCACAGATCCTGACTCTGAAGTGCCACCTGAACTGACCTACAGCCTAATGGAAGGCAGCTTGGATCATTTTTTAATTGACTCAAATAGTGGAGTGCTCACCATAAAAAACAACAACCTTTCCAAAGATCACTATATGCTGATAGTTAAAGTGTCTGATGGAAAGTTCTATAGCACATCCATGGTCACCATCATGGTTAAAGAAGCCATGGACAGTGGCCTCCACTTTACACAAAGCTTTTACTCCACCTCAATCTTAGAGAACAACACTAACATAACCAAAGTAGCTATTGTCAATGCAGTTGGAAACCGCCTTAATGAGCCCTTAAAATATAGCATTTTAAACCCAGGAAATAAATTCAAGATAAAATCTACCTCAGGAGTCATTCAGACCACTGGAGTCCCCTTTGATCGTGAAGAACAAGAATTATATGAGTTGGTAGTGGAAACCAGCCGAGAGCTGGACCATCTGCGTGTGGCTAGGGTGGTGGTCAGGGTTAACATTGAAGACATAAATGACAATTCTCCAATCTTTGTGGGACTCCCCTACTATGCTGCTGTGCAAGTTGATGCTGAGCCTGGGACTCTAATATACCGGGTGACAGCCATTGACAGAGATAAAGGTGCAAATGGAGAAGTAACCTATGTCCTTCAGGATGATTATGGCCACTTTAAAATTAACCCTAATTCAGGGAATGTTATTTTAAAAGAAGCATTCAACTCTGACTTGTCCAACATTGAGTATGAAGTCACTGTTGTAGCCAAAGATGGTGGAAAACCCTCTTTGTCCACATCTGTGGAACTTCCCATCACTATTGTCAACAAAGCAATGCCAGTGTTTGATAAGCCATTTTATACGGCATCCATCAATGAAGACGTTAGAACGGACACTCCCATTCTAAGCATCAATGCAACCAGTCCAGAAGGTCAAGGCATCATATATATTATTATTGATGGGGATCCTTTTAAACAGTTTAACATTGATTTTGATACTGGAGTCCTGAAAGTTGTTAGTCCTTTAGATTATGAAGTTACATCTGTTCACAAGTTGACAGTAAGAGCCAGTGATGCCCTCACTGGTGCTAGGGCTGAAGTCACTGTTGACTTGCTAGTTAATGATGTAAATGACAACCCTCCTGTTTTCAATCAGCCCACATACAATACGACATTATCAGAAGCGTCTCTTATTGGTACACCTGTTTTGCAAGTTGTCTCTACTGACATAGACTCAGGAAATAATAAGATGGTTCATTACCAGATTGTGCAAGATACCTACAACAGCACAGATTATTTTCACATAGACAGCTCAAGTGGCTTAATGCTGACCGCAAGGATGCTGGACCATGAGTTAGTACAACACTGTACTTTGAAAGTCAGAGCAACAGATAATGGTTTCCCATCACTGAGCAGTGAGGTTCTGGTTCATATCCACATCTCTGACATAAATGACAACCCTCCAGTTTTTAATCAGCTCATTTATGAGTCATATGTGAGTGAATTAGCCCCCCGTGGTCATTTTGTAACCTGTGTGCAAGCCTCTGATGCAGACAGCTCTGACATTGACCGGTTAGAATATAGCATTTTGTCTGGGAATGACCGGACAAGCTTTCTGATGGACAGCAAGAGTGGAGTCATCACTCTGTCCAATCACCGGAAACAAAGGATGGAGCCTCTGTATAGTCTCAATGTGTCTGTTTCTGATGGGTTATTCACCAGCACTGCTCAGGTGCATATCAGGGTGCTTGGAGCTAACTTGTACAGTCCTGCCTTTTCACAAAGCACATATGTGGCTGAGGTGAGAGAGAATGCAGCTGCTGGGACAAAGGTAATTCATGTTCGAGCCACAGATGGGGACCCGGGGACATATGGACAGATCAGCTATGCCATCATCAATGATTTTGCCAAGGATCGATTTCTCATAGATAGCAATGGACAAGTCATCACAACAGAACGGCTAGACCGGGAAAACCCTCTAGAAGGAGATGTTAGTATTTTCTTGAGGGCCCTCGATGGTGGAGGAAGAACAACTTTCTGCACTGTGAGAGTGATTGTTGTGGATGAAAATGACAATGCACCCCAGTTCATGACAGTAGAATATAGAGCCAGTGTAAGGGCAGATGTAGGAAGGGGCCACTTGGTCACTCAAGTTCAAGCAATGGATCCGGATGATGGAGCTAACTCAAGGATTACTTATTCCCTCTATAGTGAGGCCTCTGTCTCAGTGGCTGACCTCCTGGAAATTGATCCTGACAATGGATGGATGGTTACAAAGGGCAATTTTAACCAGCTGAAAAATACAGTGCTGTCATTCTTTGTCAAAGCAGTCGATGGGGGCATTCCAGTAAAGCACTCTCTTATTCCTGTCTACATCCATGTCTTGCCCCCTGAAACATTTTTGCCTTCATTCACTCAGTCTCAGTATTCCTTTACCATTGCAGAAGATGCAGCCATTGGAAGCACAGTGGATACCCTGAGGATTTTACCCAGTCAGAATGTCCGGTTCAGCACAGTTAATGGGGAACGGCCAGAGAATAACAAAGGGGGTGTTTTTATCATAGAACAGGAAACAGGCACTATCAAACTTGACAAGCGCCTCGACCGTGAAATCAGCCCAGCTTTCCACTTTAAAGTAGCAGCTACTCTCCCCCTGGACAAGGTAGACATTGTGTTTACTGTGGATGTAGATATCAAGGTATTGGACTTGAATGACAACAAACCAGTCTTTGAAACTTCAAGCTACGAGACCATCATAATGGAAGGGATGCCTGTTGGCACCAAGCTCACACAGGTGAGAGCTACCGATTTGGATTGGGGAGCCAATGGGCAGGTCACTTACTCTCTTCACTCAGATTCCCATCTCGAAAAGGTAATGGAAGCATTCAATATTGACAGCAACACAGGCTGGATCAGTACCTTGAAGGACCTGGATCATGAGACAGACCCTGCATTCTCATTCTCTGTGGTGGCCTCTGACCTGGGAGAGGCATTCTCTCTTTCTTCCATGGCTCTGGTCTCTGTCAGGGTTACAGATATAAATGACAATGCACCAGTCTTCGCCCATGAGGTGTACCGAGGAAATGTGAAGGAGAGTGACCCTCCAGGAGAGGTGGTGGCTGTGCTCAGCACATGGGACAGAGACACTTCTGACCTTAATTGCCAAGTGAGCTACCATATTACAGGTGAGTCTCAATACCCAGGTTTCACCACGTGCTCTGCTTACTAAAGAAAGGTGGGAGAGAGGAGTAGGCAAGAGTACAAGAGAAGAAGGAAGATGAGGTAAGAACTTGAGAGCAATAAAACCTTTCTGGGCAGAGTTAAAGGTCTCTAAAGAGACAGTGTTTTGATTGTCAATTGTTGTTAACTCGGCCTTAGTCTGGAGTTCATTTATTTGTCTACAGCATTGCCAAGGTTGACACCCAGTCTTGTGTCACTTATCATGTCATAAAGAAGTCCAGACAAATACTTTAGTTGAATAAATGAAAATAACAGCTCTTTTGTGTGAGGAGAGATGTTTCTAAATATACATATTATTTTTCCACTCTTTTTTAGGGCTAAGCACACCAAACAGCTTGATCCCAGTAAGCTTTACATAGAAGTTTTTCCTAGTCATAAAAGTACATAGGGACAGACACAAATTAGAAATCAGTTCGACCTTTTGCTAAGTCCTAAATTATAATTCCAAATCAAGTGGGGTTTCTTCTGACAACTCCATTTTCTTGGATCCTTTTTTGTCCTTCTAAATAATAAGTAGCAGTTCATTGGGAAAGCCAAGATAGACAAATGAGGTCACCAAGAGTGCACAAAAATGTCACTATTGCTCTATAAGGGCAAGGATTTCATGTCAGAGTGAAAAGGGTTGTCACTGATTAGGAATAGTTTCCTGGGGCTGACAGGCTTTTGACAACAAAGAGTAAAAGGTTGGTAATGTGAGGACAGCCTTCCTAAAAATAATTTAGGGGGTTTAAGCTAATATTTTGATGCTATGACATTCAAAGCCAGAATATAAGGAAAGTGCCAAAAGATTTTAAAGAATCCATCAGTACTTATAGTCAGGTGGCTTTTCCTTTAGAAAAACCACATTATTCAGAGTAAAAAAAATGAATTAATTACAATGCCCTTAGGACACAGAATCTGCTTAAGTATGTTAGTGGAAAAGTTAATTAATCATTGAAGAATAAGATCCACAGTAGAGCAAATGTGTCAATGCTTGGAGTTGCCACACTTGTCAGCATTCGTCTCCTTTTACTTTGTGGAACTGTTTTTTGAGGTGTTTTACTTATAAGAACAATTTTTATGCTTCTCTAATACCTTCAGTCTTTTTTTCACTAAGATATATATTTCTACAATGAAAATATGAGCGTGGTGAGGAAAGAAAGGTGAGTAAAGCTACATTTTGATTTATTTGCATGTCATTTCAGGAGGAAAAAAGGCTTCTAAGGCATTTTAAGGGCTACTTTTCTATTTGGAAGAATTGTTAATTACTCAACCTTAATTATTTTTACATAATCTCTAAATTCTCAATAGATGATTTAAAGGGACCATCCCATCAACTTTACCAAAGTAATGAGTACAGAGTAGCTTAAAGCTATTGTTACTATTAGCAGTGCCAACCACCAACTGATTTTAATTAGATTTAACTTTTGCTCTTGATGTAGCACAACTTGGCTGTGCTGCCTCAGATTAACAAAGAACCATTAATCACTTTATATAACAAAAGAACGGTGCAAGCCTGCTTGTGCTGAAACTATTTAATAGTTTAATGTGCACTGAAATCATATTCAACTAAAGCATAATTGAATCCTAGCCAATGGTGGAGGAAAGTGATATTCCAGGGAGGACCCACAGCCTCTCTAGACCAAGATTTCTCAGCAATACCATTGACTGATATTGTGGATACATAGTTCCTGGTATGGGTGCTGTGTGTATTGTAGGTTGTATAGCAAAGTCCCAGGCCTCTGCCTACTAGATTCCAGTAGCACATACCACTACCATGCTTCCCCTTTGACAATCAAAACTATCTCTAGACACTGGCTAATATCCCAGAGAGGGGAAAAGCACAATCCCCAGTTGAGAGCCACTGCCCAAGAGGAATGTGCAACCCTCATTTTCCACAGTATCTGCAAAATTTAATTATGTTTATCCCATAATTCTCCCACAGTGCCGAGGCTCTGAGACCAACCACCTCCCCATGCCTTACAATCAGGAGCTCGGTCTGGCACTCAGAATTCTACTCCTTGCCTTGCAGTCTTTCCTCTAGAGCCATGAAGCCTACTCTTGCCCTTTGCTTTTTTTTTTTTTTTAAAGATTCATTAGCAGGCAATATGGCTTCATTCTTTCAGTGAAGTAGCAGTCAACATACTGTATATGCTTTTTGTTGTTGTTAAAGATAAACTTAGGCACTTAAAGAGTTTGTTAGAGCAAATAGAAATTTATAAATTTGGCAGTTCCTGACTACAGACTTTTCTGAGCTCCATTAAAAGTGTATGACAGACAACTTTTATAATATTCTTATGTAAGGAAGACAAAGAAAATATTTGATTGGTTAATTTAACAGTAACCTTTAAGTGCCTGTAGCACTGGGGATCCAGGGCCTAATGCTATGAAAAAACAGCCCTCAGTCCTTCAGGGTTTCATGGAAGAATTCAGGCAAGATGCAGAAGTATAATTAGAGAGATTTAGGATTCAAGCAAGAAAGTGGGCAGTGCCACATAGGCAACTGTACCATGTTAGAGTTTAGATATCGTTTTATGCACTCAAGAGTTGTTCCTAGGGTTCACCAAAGGGTGGTAACTGTGATGCTTATCAACATTTTTCTTAAAGGCTACTTTGGAGTTGCAAAATGTTTTCCTTGTTCTTTTTAGATGATCAGTATATTTTTTGTTGGGGGAGGGGGACTTGGTCATGTAAAAAATTTACAAATGAAAAAGTTCTATTCTAAATCAGGTAACCCCCCAAGGTTAGAGAATCTTTAAAGAATGTTCCCCTGTATGAGATCATGGGTCATAGGCCATAGTGCACAGGAACACTGTATGCCTAGTTTTGGAAATGGATGGTCAGTAGACCAAGTATTGGGATGAATGTGCACAATATGTTACTTTAACATGTCATTATGCTCTGTGGGATCATTTTGAGTCTGAGAACAAACAAACGATTATAAATGTATTGTACCTTGAGGACCTTGTGATATAGAAGGAAAACATATAAGTCACAACCTGCTAGATGTCATATACACTGAGTTTGTTCCCTGAAGTTGAAGAGTGAATTCTAAGGAACAAGAGAGGTTAAGAGTAGGAAAGTGAATTGAAGAATAGGAATGGGGAATAGGAATAGCTCCTGAGAGACAGGAGGGGTCCCTAATGGATTGCCAATGAGCCCACTTCTCTGAGAAAGTTTTATAGAGTAAAATCATGTGGTGGGTACAACATGAGTCAAAACTGTAATCAACCAATAAGACTACAAGTACAGCCATTTGACTAACACTGATCCAATAGTATTAAGGCTATATGGATGACATCATTAACCTCAGTCCATAATCTATAGTCTTAGTCCTTTTTTTTATTTAACAGTTTCATTCTGTTTTAGAATTAAAACCTTGCTGATATAAAGGTATACTGCAGATATGCCATGCTGCCAGTTGTTACTGGGACAACAGCCCCCAACCAGTGACCCAGAGGGCTGGGAAAGCACGTAAACTCATACTTTCAGAGCACATAGAACAGTTATTTACAGTTTTCTTCTTGAAATCAGCCTGGAACATCTCAGTCTACTTAAGTATTGCCATAGCACTTGCTGTGATGCTCAGAATGCCTCAGAAATGTGTTCAATATCATGATCTGTGGGTCCTCCAAAGATTCTGTTGTTAACATGCAAGCAAATAGTACTAAACAATATTATCTAGACTATGGCTGCCAAATACTGGATTTTAGTATTGAAACCAAATTACAAAACATTTCGTTGTAGAGCTGTACAAAAGATATAAAATTAAATTTTCAAATGTCAACCGTCTTTAAATATTCCAATTCTGCTACTGTGCAGTTTTCTACACCTTTATCACTACTGAATGTTTTAAGAGTAACGTTTCACAAAAATCAAAATACATAAAAAATATTTAAATCTTTGGATACCTTTATTCCATGGCCTTCATAAAAACACAAAAGTGGCTAATTTTTTCCATGATAGCTAAAATATCAAAAAGACTGATTAGTAATTTATAATTAGCAATGAATTCTATTCTGAGTCATCTGTGGGTCACAGACCCAAGGAAAGTGTTAATGATGTGATACAGATTATGGTTGCCAAAATAATTTTGAACTTTTGAAATTGGAAATTAATGGAATTAATCATTATCACAACAAAATTCCAGGTATATCAGGAAGAACAGGTTAATTGATACCTATTTTCAATGTCTTAAAAAAGTCTTACTCTGAGTGAGTGAGAGAGGATGGTCATCCCACCCCAATGAGATAATGTTTTATTTATATGGGAAATCTCAAAAGAGTGGTACAAGAAATCTCAGGCTTCCATTTATCCCTTAGGAAAGTATGTAAATCTGGGTATTGTGACTTTAATCTTCTTCAGATGCACCTCCAGCCACAGTTTTGATGTGTTCTTGTCTTCTGCACTGACTCCCTCAAGGGCATAGCCCTGTCTGACTGCCTGTAATATTTCTACCTAACTTAGCTGCCCATAATATTTGTTTTTTCATTTTACTATCACTGTCTATAGAACTATTTACTGTAATTATAATCAATAGTTACTATAACTATTTTGGACTCCCTTTACCCTCCAGACCCACTAATGTCTAACTACCTGCCTAATATCTTCTAGAGGTTATAAAGTTTTAGTTTTACTATTTACTTGAGTTGAGTTTTGGTTTTGTCCATAGGAACTCAAGCCACTGGCACCTTCTCTGCCAAATAGCCTCCTAATTATTTTAACTGTTGTCAGTTGTCCCCCTTAGAATATGGGTTTTACCACCAGAGCAGGAATTTTTGTTGGTTTTGCCCACTGTTGTAGCCTTGCTGCTAGAACAGTGACCCAGAGAAAGTGATAAATAACTGAATACCAGAGTAAACAAAATGGTAATCCTTACACCTGACTCCCAACTTCTTGCCAGTTGTCTTCAGGCCAGTCTTTCTCAGTGTTTGAACTAACATTATTTTTCCCTTTAGGGATCAGAAGGTCAAGGTAGCTCTCTTCCCTCCTCTTCCTGCCTTGTGCTAAGCTGCTTTAGTCTCTGTGTAGTTTAATGAAGCAGAAAGGTAATATGACTGGGACCACCGCCAGTGCTTCAGCATCATAAAAAGCTGTTTTACTTCATCTCTTCTACCTTTCTTCCACTTTCCCTAGCTTCACTCTGATAAATTTGACCTAATTGTAGTGCTTATCTTTGAACTGTTCCTTAAATGACCCCTCATTAGGGCTATTAAATACTAATGAGTCTTCCTCTGTCATGTAAACTTTTCTCCCCAAACTCCAATCCGTATAAGAGCACAGCTGTATGATAAAGCCTTCATTAAAAGATTTCTTAATAGAACTGACTGCCTTTTCTTGATTGCATAATCAACAGTTAATGAAATTGTCTTGGTAACAAGAGCTACAGTGTATTACATCCTCTCTTGAGACTAAGTGGAAAGACAATTTTAACATCCTGAGAAGAGGATTGATTGTTCACAGTTTGAATTTGATTGTCCTTAAGGGGAACTAAACAAGAGATCATCTCCAGTTTGTCTAAGTGGATTTTATTCTCTTGGAAAGTTGCTATTTTACTTTCCTCACAAGCCCAGCATGTAAATATCATTCTTTGTTGCAGAAGAATCAAAGGGATTATCAACTTTTTTCAATGTCATCAATGATAAACAATTGGAAGGGCACCTGGATGAACCCATATGGGCCTCTCTTGGTTGATGTAGAGTAAGGTGTCTCACCCATATCTTCAGAACCTCTGTTTTCATTGCAGGAGGAAACCCGAGAGGAAGGTTTGCTCTGGGCCTGGTGCAGAGTGAGTGGAAGGTCTATGTGAAGAGACCTCTAGATAGAGAAGAACAAGACATTTACTTCCTCAATATCACTGCCACTGATGGGCTCTTTGTCACACAGGCCATGGTGGAAGTGACAGTCAGTGATGTAAATGACAATAGCCCAGTGTGTGATGAGGTGAGAGTTGGAGATTATAGCTCTGCTTTTTATTCTGCTTCTCTAAAATTAAATCAAAACTCATTTGAGTTTTCTCCTTATGGCCAGACTAAAGTCTGTTCTTATGTTTCGTTGGAGCTAAGAGGATAGAAAGTAGAATCTAAGATAAAAAGTATTACAGGTGGAAAAAATATAGGTAGTACAATCAAGCACCTAATTCCCCCCCAAAAGAAAAGAGTAAATCTTAAAATTAAATAAGTAATTTATAAAGACCCTTTTCACTTTGATCTGAATTATTCTTATCACAAATGAATTGCTCTGTGTGTTACCCATTCGTACACATTTATTTACACAGCTGATTAATGGCAATGTTGGCACTGAACACAGGTCTCCAGAGTCCCCACGAAGTAGCCTTTGCACAGCTGCCCAAAATGTAGCAACAGGGGCTAGTACTAGATTTCATTTTCTTCTTTATTGAAATTAATCACTATTAAGTATACTTTTTCTTACCATGTGGACCAAGAGACAATGGTGTTCTGTGGCTTAGAGATAGATTTGACCTCTGATGCTAATTCCACATGTTAGTAGTTGGTCTTTAAAGAGTTGAAAAGAATCCCAAGATCTCACTGGATCTCAACAGACAAATGAGCCATGGTCAATGTGTGATGTATGTCATGATTTCACAGGGGTGGGACTTTTGTCCACTTCACCATTATACCCATACCTCCTATAGCACTGAACACACAGACAACTGCTTAATATTTTCTGAATAAATGGTCATGGGAGGAGTAGAGCAGGAGGTATACCATGTTTCACCATATAGTATAATATATGTGGTCAAAGGAAAAAATAGCTGAAGATAAATTACACAAATGAATTTTTAGAGAAATCATGTGTAATGGCTAACTGTGGTAATCGTTCCCAAATACTAATGATTTAGTTAGTTTTGTTTACCTTTTCCCAGGTTGCATATACAGCATCATTTCCTGAAGACATTCCATCTAATAAAATCATCCTGAAGGTCAGTGCCAAGGATGCTGATATTGGATCCAGTGGAGATATCCAATACTCACTCTATGGATCTGGAAGCAATGAATTTTTTCTAGATCCAGAAAGTGGTAAGGTGAAATTTATTTTTTAAGTATATACCACTGTTTATCCATCCATAAAAAATGTTAAACTCTCATGTGGTTGCATGACCAGTTGACCACATGAAATACTCTCGTTAGTACACTGCAGCCCTCACGTGATGCCCTGGTTTCTTGGATTCTAAAAATAATAGGAGTACATGGTGCCCAAGTACAAGTTCTCTGAACCACAAAAGCTTTATTTAGTTTATGAAACTTTCCCAGACTTTGTCTACATTTATTAGTATCAAATAAGCACAGTTGTCTATTTGTTTCTCCCGGCTGTGAGTTAAGACATCACCTTATAAAGGGTATAAATGCAGTTATGTTACAAATGAAGACTGCAATGTGAACTGAAGAGTAATGCGTAGAAAGGAGAGTTTTATTATTCTTTAAATCCCTTTTGTGTCCCTTCATTCTTATTAAGATAGGTGTCTGGTTTGTATTAAACATTCCTGCCTTGCATATTCAGATACAATTTTGCCCCAGCCCTAGTCTCATTCCTCTCCAAAGACATGAGCCCTCTGATTTCTTGCATATTCAAGTAAAATTTACAAGGTGAAAGGTTATGTACACCTGAAGGCTGATACCTGCATTGAAGGTCAGAGCTAATGAAAAAGTCATTTTCTATTGAAGCAAATTATTTCAGTGTTTTGAATTGGATAGTTCATCCAATGTCAATTTTTAAATAAAATGTAAAGATTAAACAGCTTGCATATTTCCAGCATTGTGTTGCTCCTAGTGAACAGAAACTAATGAGTCTTCAAAAAGGTAGTGGCTCCTCTTAGCCCCATTCCCATGCCCCATATATCCTCCTCCAAAATGCTGGCATAGGTACTTGGGAATATTCTACTTAGATATCTGGGACCTGTGATTATTTATTTAGTCAGTAACATTTATTGAGTAGCTAATAGACATAAAAGCACTTTATGGGATTTGTGTGTTAGACACCAAAGGATATTATAATCCAGTAGGGAAGACAAACAAGCCAGTAATAATAATAATGAAAGGCAGAAAAAAAAGATTGCCCAGGAAAATATAAAAGGAGTTATATCTGTGAACACAGAAAGAAGTAGTAGCTAATATTCTGATGAGAAGAAAGAGGAACTGTTTTAAGGAAGGGCTAAATATTTGAACTAAGCCTGGTTTCTAGAAGTATAAGCAGGATACCGCAGGATATAGGACAGCATGAGCAGAGAGCACACCACATCCCTTGAGAGTTGTGCACAAAGCGGCAATGTTATGGGATGGGGAGACCCTGTGAGGTTCATTCCAGGTTCTTGGTGTCATGAACGAAGGATTGGATAAGACACACAGAAAAAGCAGCAAAGTTGTACATTTATTGAAGTTTGAAGAAAGTTACATTGTACAGGATGAGAGTAGGCCAGTGAAAAAGCTCAGGAACCTTATCTTTTGATTGGTTGTGCTCACCTTCAAATGAAGGGTTGACAATAGCACTTGTCTGACTGGTTCCAGGTGCAGTGCTCAGGAGTGCTGGAGTTGTATTTGGTTCTGTGTTCTGCACGTCTTCCAGGTTTTTATGATGTCTGGCACATTCCATTTAGTTGGCTGTCCAGTTTGCTCCAGCCCTAATCTCATACCTCAGCAGGAAGACAACTTTAACTGGTATCTTGTACCAGATAATGGATGTCTTGAATGCCTTGCTAAAAAGCTACTTAGGTCTTTTTGAGCAGAAGAGGGAAATGATTAGACCTATGTTAGAGAACCAGCTGGCAGCTACAGGGAAGCCATAGGAGGAACTCCCTTATAAATACAGATGGCTTGGTCCAAATGTCTATTTTTATTTTAAAATAATAATGTTTAATAATAAGTCATACTTTGTACCAAATACTTTACATCTATTAGGTTTGTCACTATGTTCATTCTCATTTTCTTTTAAAGCTTAAACAACAACCCCCCCCCAAAAAAATTTCCAGGGGCTGGCGTCTAGTACCACCTGTGCAACTTTTCCCATGGTGAAAATACGGATGTAATAGACCTTCAGGTTGGCTGATAAATAGCTGCTCCTCCAAAACTTCCCAAGCCCCTCCCCATCCCACCCCCAAATCACGGACCCTTCTACAACCCAGGAAGTAAAAGTTTAATCCCAATATAGTCTGAGTCCCTCAAGACCCTGGTCTATTAAAACCAGTCTGTTTTAATTACCTTATTTTCCTGTGAAAAACAGGGTAAAAAATTGAGCATCTGGAAGCAAAAAGTTTGTCTTAGGTTTATAGATGATTGATATTATTGACCATTAAACAAGATATCAGTCCATTCTCCATGCATTTTCTATGAAGCTTCTCCATGAAGCTAATAGAAAAACTAATATTCAAGTTTGGCAGAGGAATTAATTTGAAGGTCCTGCAGTTGGTTTATTGTTGCATTCAGAATCCCATAATTTTTCCCTAATGCCTTAAAACATTGAATAAGCTCTTTTATCAAACAATGGGCATTTGGGCCAAATGTCCTTGGTTCTTCTTGTATTTAGAATATTTTATTTAATTGATTCTTTGTTTTTCAAGAAAGGCAGTTTTTGAAAATCCAGACTAACCATGCTGCCATTTCTTTTCATAGGTGAGTTGAAAACTTTGGCTCTGTTGGACAGAGAGAGGGTCCCAGCATACAACCTGATCTCTAGGGCCACCGACGGGGGTGGCAGATTTTGCCAGTCTGATATCCACCTGATCCTGGAGGATGTGAATGATAACCCACCTGTGTTTTCTTCTGACCACTACAATGCCTGTGTCTATGAGAACACAGCCACCAAGGCTTTGTTAACCAGAGTACAAGCCGTGGACCCTGACATTGGTAAGTCAATTGCCCTGGCCAGGAAAAATTGCCCTGGCCAGGCTGCTTCCTGCTCATGCACTAGAAATATTGTCTCCAGAAGCTATGTTTCCTTCAGTTTTATAAGAACTCCATTAGCCCTTTGGTTCGTACCATATGAACATGTACTTAAAGCTCCTTTCAGCTCTTTACAGGGTATACTTCTTAGAAATTTTGCAAGTCCTTCCTGTTTCTATAGTTGGAAGAAGAGATGTTATGAATTCCTTTACCTGTTAACAAAGTATTTGGGTTTGGTTTGTTTGAATTCTTTTTTTGACCTTTTGAATAAAAATAACAGCTTCTTTACTTGCCCATTCCTCCTAAACATAGTTAAAATGCTGTGTTGTGTGGCAGGGAGAATTCATTTCCATTTCTATAAAGAATTGCATCACATGCTTTGGCTGAAATATGACAATCTCGATTTATTGCAGTGCCCCATGGTGCAAAGACCAATTACTAAATATGTGGCCAGTCCAATGAGGATTTTTTTAAACTGTCATTTTGCAGAGTATTTTGTTACATATACACTGACATTACTAGGCAGAAAAAGGATGGGGAAGATAAAAGGAATTAGAGCTGGAAGTTGCTAATAAAGTTTGTGTTCAAATCCACTTTATATAATGAGATGATGGTTAGAAAAGACTGGAGTTAATTGCTAGGTAGACCTTCTGAGAATGCATGTTATTGAGGTGACTACATGATGGAATATAAATACTAAAGGGCATCCAGAAGCCTCTTCGTTGTGCATTTTAAGAGCTGCAAATCAGAGGACTAGGGAATGATGGGGTGTGTCTGCTATGCTAAACAGGCCTTTATATAATTCAGTGTCTTGTTGCTTAATTTAGAATTGAAAGAAAAATTATTGGACTAATGGAAAAGTAAATACATGATAATTAGTTGAAAACAAATGTAGAGCGCAGGGACTCTGCATATTTCCCCTTAGAGAAATTAGTGGTTACACTTTGAAACATTGCTCATGCCACATTAGCATAATTTTTGAGGCTGAGAAACAAAAAACTGTACATATTATTGTGAAAAATGGCAAATAAGAAAAGACTCTTATTGGTATATAATTACGTAATAGCTACAAATACTTTTTGAATAGAAGATTAGGAATCATGGAATCATTCTCTGGACTTTTTTTTTTTTTTTTGTACCAGGGATCGAACTTGGGACCTTGTGCTTGTGAGGCAGGCGGTGGAACCACTGAGCTAAATCCCCAGCCCTATCTCTGGACTCTTATTGGCAGAATTTTAGGGGAGTGAGCAAAGAATTATTGCAAATAAATCTTTTAATCATTTCAAATTTGATTTTGAGAACATATAATTAGCCCATAGATGAAATTTTAACACCTGAAAGATGGGATTTTTTTCCACTCTTTTTACAAAGGGATTAGGGTGCTCAAGCTGCTAGAGATAGGACACAGAAGTCTGATGAATGCACGTGATGTTGCTTCAGAGCATGCAGAAGTGGGATAGGATGCAACTGACTCAAAGTATTGTATGTGGAGCTATTTTGCAAGTTGTGGAGAAGACTATACACTTAGCTATATCTATTTTCATTTATTTTGAGTCAACAGGCCAGATTGCCAGTTATGGATATGAGGAATGTCTTGACTGATCACTTAACAAGACAGACATGATAAATACTTTGGAGGACACAAATTAGAACGAGGGTCCTATTAAACCTTGATCTGCTCATTTGTGTCATGAGCAGTAGGCTATGTGCAGAGCTTCAGAAGGGCGTGGAGAGGATGGGTATGGCCAGTGCCTGTTCACCAGGCCATCATGTCAGCCACAGGAAAGTTCTGGCATGAGATAGCAGACTTGCTTGAGTTGCTTAGTCTTCGTCGATCTCATTTAGCTGTGAGATATTGGGAAGGGGAAGAAAACGAGAAGGGGAGCAAGGGAGGGGGAGGGGAAAGGAGGGAAGGGAAAAGAAGGAAAATGGAAACAAAGCTTTTGTAAATGGGGGGAAAAAGAAAAGTTGAAGGGAGGGCAGGGGAAAGGGAAAAAAAAGAAGAATCGAGATATATTATATAAGGTACAAATTCCCTATGATGAATATGATCATTATGTGTATCGAAAGTGTACCGGGGCTGGGGATTTAGCTCAGTAGTTCTGCCGCCTGCCCTACAAGTGCAAGGAACCGAGTTCGATCCCCTGTACCAAAAAAAAAGAAAGTATACCAATAAAGTTAATATAAAAAAACACGAAGGTAGCTGGGGGGGAACAAATGACTGATGCAAGGATTACTAACTGAGCACCAACATGTCCCAGCCACCAAGCAGAGAAGCGATTGTATACTAAATTAGAGCTTGCAGGAATTTTCAGCAGGGCAGTATCAACCTGAGCTGCCATCAAATGAAGGCCTACATTATCTAGAATCCCTGGGTATCATTGACTGGCGGCTTCTGTAATTGTCATTAGTGGCTTGAGCAGAACATTTATTCTCCAACCATTTCTGTCTTTTCTAAAGGCTGCAGACAAGTGGAAGCTGTGTACTAAGATGACCAGATTGTTCAGTGGGGGGATCCATCTTTGGTCAGACTAAACCTCACTCTGTAAGCTGAGTTCATGCACAAGTGCCTGTTAACGGAATCCAGCATGCCAGTGCCTTTAGTTTCACTTATACAGCATCTAGAAATACTGTAATTACTGTACTTGTCTGTATTTATTTATTTTACTGATTGATTTTTTTATAAAACTTTTATTAGTACATATTTGTAGTACATGATGATTACTTTCATTGTAGGGAATTGATATATGTGCATAACACATCTCAATTCTTTTTTTATTTTTTCCTTTCCCCTCCACTCTCCCTTTTTTGCTAGAATCAGATTCATTTATTTTGTAAATCCTAATAAGGTTAATTATAATACACACAGATTATGTATTTAAAAGCCAGATTTTTATTAGAAATTTAGATTTCTGCCATTTTATAAAAACAGTAGTGTTGGGGTCTGGGGATTTAGCTCAGTGGTTCTGGCACCTGCCTTGCAAGCGCAAGGTCCCAAGTTCGATCCCCAGGACCAAAAAAACAAAACAAACAAACAAAAAAAAAACAGTAGTCCTTAGAAGACTTTGTCATCCTAGGTGCACAGGTTCCAATGGTGCATTGAACAGCAACTGCCTCTTTATTATGGGCCACAGATATCCCTCCCTGTTGCAAGCCACCCCATTTACTTATGTTATCACCTAACTTCATTTGCAGCCCTTTCCCTCAAGTAACTGGGAAATTTCAATATTTATTTGAGGGATATAGTTTAATGGTAGAACACTTGCCTGGCATGCAAAAAACCTGAATTTGATCCTTAGCACTGCAAAAAACAAAAACCTATAAAAATATTTTGTTTTGAAATAATTATAGATTCATAGAAAGTTACCAAAAAGACATGCAGGAAGCTGAGTGGTCCTTTCTTTCAGCCTTTCCCCACTATCTTGCCTAACTGTAGAACACCATGGAAATCAGGAAATTGACATAGGTCCAATCTTCAGAGATTGTTCAGATTTCAGTGCATGGGCACATGTAAGTTTATACACAATTTTGTCACTTGTGCAGCTTCATGCATCCCCAAAGCTCCCTTGTGCTTTCCCTTAAAAGCCAGACCCACCCCCTTCCCAATCTCTAACGTACTGAGTCACTAATCATATCTATAATGTTCTTATTTCAAAAATGTTACTTTACTAAAATCATAGTTTGTTTTAGAGATCAGCCTTTTTTTATTCAGAATAAATCTTTTGAAATTCATCAAAGTTATCTAACTAGTTTTTAGTCATAGTGAAGAATATTTGCTCCACTTGTGTTAATGATAGATATTTGGTTTTTGAATTTTTTTGTAAAAAGAAAAAATAGGGTAAATGAATATGCTTACAGAAAGAAATTTCAAAAACTAGATATCTCTGTGAAAGAGACTTGAGGCTGTTCACTTCTCCCACCATGTGAAGGCACATAGAAGGTGACATCTGTACGATACCAGCCCTCACCAGACACAAAACCTACTGGAGCCTTGATTTTAGACTTCCCAGCCTCCAAAACTGTAAGCAATAAATTTATAGTGTTTATAAATTAATCAGCTTCAGAAATTTTGTTATAGCAGCCCAAATGGACTAAGACAACCAGCATTTGACTACATGACATATGAGGTCACTGTAACTTGCAGAGAAAGGACAAAGATATATTAATCTGAAATCTGATTCCGTAATTTCTTGAGTTCAAAGACCTTACTATGAGTTGCTACATTTTCATACCTCGATTTTCTAATTTTAAACATATTATTGCTTTTAGCAAAACAACTTACCTATGAATGATTTAAAATGAAACAACATTAATGTTAGAGTAACTGCCTAGGTCAAGAATAAAATAAAAACAAAAACAAGATAATGCTAACACGTATTTTATGAATTCTAAGAAATAGCATGGCAACTGTCTAGATTTTAGCATTAAGTTGTTATTTTTCTTCTAAGATTAAATGTATCCTCAATTCCATAAACATGACTTCATGACCAAAAATTTATAAAAATTTAATCTTTACAGTAAAGATGGAGAGATTTTTTTTGATCCATTACCATTTGAGTTTAATAGCTTATGGTTTAGTCTACCTTTCGAAGTGGGATTTGTTCCCAGGTTCTTGATTCTGAGAGTTTTTTTAACTATCAAAAGAAATATGCAGTGATAAGGATCAGACCAAGAAATCTGTGACCATTTTAGTTGAAGTGACACAAAAATTAATGTAAATTTGTGCTGGAAAAATATGCTATAGCCCGTGATTTGTTAAGAGACCAATTTTCAGATACTTGGGATGTGAAAGGGCATATTTTTCCTCTTATAGAAAAGAGATATAAAGCAAGGAAATGTTCTAATGAGCAACTCTTTTCTTGTAAAATATTTCCTCCAAGTTTTAGAATTTCTTTCTGAGATTTCAGAGAAACATAGAAGCTCAGAACACTTATTCTCACTCAATTTAACAAAATTTAATGAAC